TATTTGTTGTTTACAACAAAGATAAATTCAAATTAAATTCTGATGTCTATAACATGAATACTAGACAAAAATATAACTTCCACCTACCCTCATCAACTTTATCAGTATATCAAAAAGGAGTCTACTTTACTGGCATAAAAGTGTTCAACAATCTGCCACAAAGTATTAAAAACATGGGCAATGATACTAAAAAGTTTAAATCAGAGTTAAAGAATTATCTACATGCTCATTCTTTCTACTCTTTAGATGAATACTTCAATGTAAATAGAGAATGATGTAAAGTTATATTAATTTTTAAGCTAAAATTGCCTGTACTTACGTATGTAACCTTTTGACTTGTTCTGTATCCAAAGGTACTAACCTACTTAGGATTTATAGAATGTAAATAAATTCAATTCAATTCAATTCAATTAGACATTTCTTAATACAGGTCAGCTAACTGAGTCAAATAAGGATTTGATCAAATAAAGAGCTTTGTTGAGCTTTTGGCATACATATTGAGTGTGAGTTGCCCAGCTTAGATTTTCAGTAATGCAAAGGCCCAAAAATGTTACATTCAATGAATAAATTATTTCCTTATTATTTAAGCAAAACACAGGTTTGGTGAATTTAAGATTTTAACTGTTACCTCATTATATGTATGTATATATATTTGAGAGTTTTTTTATTGCTAGTGGGGTGGGACTAAGTCCCTTGTACTGCGGCCACTTCTGGCCTATTGTACCAGCCCCAGATGATAAGTGAGGGTTGTATTGTATTGTATTGTATTTTATTTTCATCCGTTTTGCTACATAGTAACATTTGGACATGTCATTCAGTAATATAAGTTAACAAAATAAATCTACATAGTTACAAGCATTCTACGAACTAAATTGATTGACTTATCCAGGAGTACAACTTAACAAACAAACCTACAAAGTTACAAGGATACTAACAACATTTTACAATCCTAAGCAATATGTAGATACTACATTTGAAAAAGAAAAAACAAATACACAAATCATTGTATACAACTTATGATTTGCTATGACATCCAAATATGAGTACTTTCACCATCCATCTTTTTATTTAAAACTAACGAATTCATTTATCGTGTAAAAGGAATGTTTCAATAAAAAGGATTTTAAGTCTCTTTTAAAAACTGAAAAACCCACTGAGTTTTTTATTTTGTCAGGCAACTTACTATGCAATTCTATCCCCATATTTACCACACTCTTTTTAAATAATGTAGTTCTACAGAACTGAACATGAAAATCCTTGTTTATTCTTGTATTATAACTATGAATATTTATATTCTGGATCAAATCTGCTTTGTGCTTTTTTATGTAACACAACACCTCTAAGATATACAACGAAGTAACCGTAAGGATGCCATAATCTTTAAAAATTTGCCTGCATGAGTCTCGTTTACCAAGTCCACTAATTATTCGCAGCACCCTCTTCTGCATTCTAAATACCTTTATACTATCACCTTCACACCCCCAAAATATTATGCCATATCTCAATAATGATTGAAACTTTGCAAAATAAATGCTTCTTAACATATTTGGACTCAAAACTCCTCTTAGTGATTTAATTATGTAGGATGTTTTACTAAGTTTTGAACATAATGACTGGATGTGGGTACTCCATTTAAGGTTTTCTGTAATATCTATACCTAAAAATCTCAGTTCTGATGAATAAGCAATTTCCAAGTTGTTATAAAATACCCGTGGTCTAACTACAAACCTACTTTTACTAAGATGGAATGACATAGCAACTGTTTTTTTAATATTTATTAAGAGGTTATTTACCTGAAACCATGTTTCAAGCTGTTTCATGATCTTATTTATTTTCTGTTGCGCTATGCCTTCCTCTTTATCAATAACAAGCACATTAATATCGTCTGCAAACAATACCATTTCTCCACCTTGTACATTTAGCGGGAGATCATTTATATACAGAAGAAACAGTAGTGGTCCCAGAATTGACCCCTGTGGTACCCCATGTATTGTTTCCCTTAAAGGTGATATATATTTATTTTGGGTCTTTTTATTCAGGTAATTTGTTTCAACAAATTGTACTCGGTGGGATAAGTAAGATTTAAACCATAAATTAGTAACCCCCCTGATCCCATAATAGTTTAATTTATCTAGTAGTATACTGTGGTTTATCACATCATATGCTTTTGTCAAGTCAAAAAATATTCCTATAACATGAAACCGTCTATCCATTGCCTCCTGTATACTCTCAATGAAGGTCTGGGAAGCTGTTTCTGTCGATTTGTTTTTTCTAAATCCATTTTGCACTTCTGTTAATATTGCATATTTTGTTACAAAGGAAATCAACCTGTTATACACCAGTTTTTCTAGTATTTTAGAGAAAACAGACAGAACTGCTATTGGCCTGTAATTACAAACTTCATGTCTTTCCCCTTTTTTATACAGCGGTCTTACTTTAGCTATTTTCATCTTATCTGGAAACACCCCTGATTTTAAAGAGGCATTAAAAATATGTACTAAAGGTTTCTTTATGTATTGTGAACATCTCTTGGCTAAATATTCTGGAATTTCGTCAAAGCCTGCAGATGGTTTACCTCTTAAACTCTTTATTACCCTCTCTATTTCAATTTCGGTAATAGGGAGCCAAAACATTGTGTTCATCTGATATTGAATCCTCTGTTGTGAGGTTTGTACTGGGGAATGGTTTATATTATTTGCTAAGAGATCTTCAATGCTTTCAATAAAAAAGGAATTCAACATGTCTGCTATTTTTTGTTGATTGGATGTTTCCTCACTTCCATTCTTTAAACTAGTTATATAGTCACCCTGCCTAAAACTTCCAGTTTCTTTATTTATTATTTGCCAAATTGCCTTCGTTTTATTATGTGACCTTAACATAAACCTATCATTTTCTTTTCTTTTAGCTTCTGTTATAACACTTTTATAAATTTTCTGATATCTATTAATGTATTCCAATATATCATTTGATAAATTTGTATTTTTCTTTAAAGTGTTTAAAAGTCTCATTTTCTGACTTGAAACCTTTATCCCCTGAGTAAGCCATTTAATTTCATTATGGTTTTTCTTATGAACTGTCTTTAAAGGAAAAGATCTTTCAAAATAGTACAAAAATCTGTTCAAAAAAGTATTGTAAGAGGTATTTACTTCATCATATAGAAGAACATCTTCCCAGGATTCCATCTCAAGTAGATGGTTGAATTCTTCTATATTCCTACCTGAAAACTGTCTTCTTGTTATTTTTTTCCATCCTGTTTTAGGCTTATTTACCTTTATATGTAGTATCTGTGCAAGATGATCGGAATACCCCAAATCTAACACTTCCGTTAAGTTTTTATAGTATACCTTATCTGTTATCATAACATCTATTAATGATACTGAGTTTTTTGTGACCCTTGTTGGAGATGTAACTGTATTTATCAAGTTGTACGTTTCTAAAAGATTCAGTAATGCACTAAGTTGTGTACTATCTTGCAAAAAATTTATATTCCAGTCACCGCACAGAATTAATTTCATACCTTTCATTTGCACTTTAAAAATCACTATTTCTAGCTTCTCCAAAAATGTATAAAAGTCACTATGTGGTGATCGATAAATGCAAACTAAAATTAGCTTAAAATCCACTAATTCCACTTCAGACATCTCAAAATCATTTTCACTACCCATGCCTCTTAAATAGCTTACTTCTCTTGCTTGTAAATCCTTATGTACCCATATACATGAACCTCCACCATTTCTACTAAATCTACTAAAATTTTTTATTAATTTATAGCATTCAATATTTAATGTTCTCCTTTGTTCATCATTTAGCAATTGGTGGAATAAAGATTGGCAGGGGAAACCGAAGTACTTGAAGAAAACTGCCCCAGCGCCACTTTGTCCATAAATCCCACTTGACCAGACCCAGGATCGAACCCGGGCCGCCGCGGTGGGAAGCCAGCGACTAACCGCTTGGGCTATGGCGCGACCATTATTTGAAGTTTTATGTTGTGTAATAAAGAATAAGATATATACAACTCAGTATTCTGACATTCACAGCTACAGTACCATACATAAACATAATTTGTATGTCCAATTTTGTAACATCGATCGTTGCAAAAAAAGATGTATTTAATATGGGAACTAAATTGAAAAGCGTTAAAAATTTTAATGTTTTTAAGAGGAAACTAAAAAATTTGTCGAAAAATTAACCACACGGAAGCACATAGAAATTGTTGTAGTTGACTTTTGAAACAGAGACCCAGATCCAATAGCACGGCAAATTGACCCGTTCGGTTTGACTTATTTGATCGTGAATGTGTATGTCTCTTTCGGTGATATTTTTCTGCATTATTTACAACAGGATTACTTTATGTCATCATTATAGGATGTAAATAAAAATGTTCACGGTTAACTTATATTTACAGCTTTTATCAGTTATGTTTAATTTCGTTTATGAACACCGTGTGAACTGAGGGACATTTCTTCAAGAATGCGGTAATTTCTGTGAGTAGAGAAAAACAATTGGAGATCATTGGTTAATGGCCTCATTAGTGTGAAATATGGCTGAAAGTAATAATAATGATATGTGTAAAGGAAAACAGAAGAATGTACAGATATTGTATAAGAAATTCGTCATTTTAAATAGGGATTTACTGAACTTCGGTGTCAGTATAGAAGAGTTAAAAGAAATTTGCTTCAAGGGGAGAAAAGCAGTATGCACGATACAAGAGTCTAAAAAAAGTGCACGCCATTCAGGTTTGACAGTAGCAGTCACTCTTGTTGGAACTGTTTTAGTCAGTATTTTACTGAAAGTAATATTGGATTCTGTAATGAACACTCTCGGTACTCGATGCTTGTTACCGAACAACTACTTTATTTGGGAGGCAACGAGACCAGAGACTGATTGCAGTATGTGTAAGGATGTGAAAACTGTTCTAGTATTTGGCAACATTAGTCGGGATGAATTCAGAAATTATGCGTATTCTTCCCGACCGATGTTGGCGAAAGGTGCAGCACTGCACTGGCCAGCAATGCAGACATTTACATACCACTTTTTGAAAGAAATATATCAGAATGTTGCAGGTGCATATGAAAGCATTGAAGAAGAGTGTCAAATTTTAACTTTCAAAACGGAGTTCAAATCATTAGAAGATGTATTTGCTATGCCAGAATCAAGGGTTCTGCTAAAAGAAGGAGAAAAACCGTGGTATGTTGGATGGTACGTACCGAAGTTAGGAAGATATGTATCAATGAATTTCTTGTAGTCTGTGTAATTTGAATCATATTGTCACGTCATAACTACAATTAATTATAAAACCCTCAAGGTAACTGTAACTATATCACATAAAGCTTCAACGTCTGTTAACACTTCACAGCTGAATTTTCACAACTTTTTTCCATTATGGCTTTGTGTCCTCAACTCACAGCTTCTCAGCTGTGATTGACTGTCTCACACATAACTCATAACTTGTCTGCTTGCTTGGTAACATGACGAATCTTGAAGAGTCTGTAGTTTCTCAAATTCTAATTCTGGATTCTATATCTTTGCCTGAACTAGCTTTATGCAAACTGGAGAGAGAACACCAAGTACAACAGTTCATTCCTCTGTTATTTGCCATTACCATAAACATGTGTGTCAATCTTGGGGCAATGCATTGATTTATGCCAACCAATCGTTTCCAAGGAAATGTGTTTCAACTTGCCATTCTAACCAAAACTTACTGTTTACTTAGTTGTTGGTTATCAACGGAATCTGGTTCTGGATTCAATATTCCAGATTTCAGGTTTCATGTCATAATGTAGTGTTATTTTCTTTCCAGGAGTAACTGTCATCCAGAAGTACTGGCCATAATGCGAGAGCATTACAGTATACCACATTTTTTGCCAGAAGATGCAGAGCATGCCCATATGGATTACATCTTCATTGGCTACCAACAGGGAGCAGTGATGCATGTGAGTAAAATTCATGGACTGATTTTTGAATCAATAATCAATCTTATGTGTGTAATACATTAGTAACATAACAGTAAATAAATACTTGGCCTTCATTGGCAGGGTGTTGTGTATGATCCAGCTGGCCAGGCACTGCATTTTACTTTCTTATGTATGTAGTATATACAGGGTGCCCCAGGAGGAAAGGTCAATATTGAGGGAGGTCATAGTATTGGTCATTCTAAGCAAAAAAGTATATGTGTAAATGTGTCCTGAATGGTTTCCAAGATAGAGCTATTGCACTGTACAGTTACAAAATTGTTGATAAGAAAGAGCTTTTACGTACTGTTTGTAGTACTGGTTTTCATTGTTCAAGTGATATAGTTGGTACAGTTCACGTAGTATGATACATTTTTGGAAGTTCTGTGACATCAGTGCACTTTGCAGTGCATGTGAGAATGTGGTGTGTTGCTTGTCTGAGTGCATTGTGACATACCTTTATGTGGGCGATAACTACTGTACAGTGAAATAGCTTTATCTCAGAAACTGTTCAGAATAGGACAAGGTCATATTCACTGTTTTGCTTATAATGACCAATAAATACTATCACCTTCCAGATTAATGACCGTTCCTCCTGGGACACCCAGCATGTGAGAAAGTATTGTGAAGGTGGGGGAAAAAATTGTAATATTTTGATGGATTTACACACCCCTGAGTATAAAAAAGTTGTTTTTGTAATTCTCTCTGCATGTTTCTCTGTATGTATGCATATGTCCCTAGCTGGTGCCTGTGTGGTTCGGTGGATTTTACTTATATTTGGTAGCATCACAGGTTGATGCCTAGTGAATGTGGATATTCTAACTTAAAAAATAAGGGTCATTCAGATGCTCCCCTTCAAATTTGTGGTTTTCTTGAAATTTTAATTAAAATTCAGTATTATTTGGAAACTATCACCTTAACCCGTTGCCGTGGTTCGTCGTGTATGTTTCGTCAGGGATTTAAATCGTCTGGGGGGGTTCGACGTGTATGTTTCGTTCAGCTGCACACCTATGTTATAACGCCCATAATAATTGATGGTTTTGCTGTAGATTGTTAGATTTTTCGCTGGCCTGTTGTCAGTAGAACAGAGTATAAATAAGACACGACTTTATCTGCGCCAAGTCATCATTACATATGCCTGTCTTGCAGCAAAGTTCCTGTGGTTCTGGCGAGCGGTTTCTAGCTGTACTGTTATGAAAGCGTGTTTTCTTTGCTTTGAAGATATAAACAGAAGAGACGTGATGTTTACTGTTGTATATGATATCATATTGCCCTGAGCTGGCCACATTGACACACTCAACTGGAATTCTTAGAATAGGGTTGTCCAGAAATTTATTCTCGCATGATCCATTGATTTCGCACAGTACAAAGGCCCAGTTCTGAGAAAAACGCCACAATTTAAGGCAGAACACTGTGGTCACCCCCTGAGACGATACGGATGTGTGTGGGGGAGGGAAAAGTACTCATTATCGCTCCAGTTGACGCCATTTTATCGTACTGACCTTGGTGGTCGTTTCGAGGGATGACCATAACTATTTTTTTTGAGCCAGCTAAGCTCTGCTTTCTTCCTCTATATACCAGCCAGTTCTTATAATAAATTCATGAATTCTGTGGTCACCCCTACGACATCTGGGGAGCCGAAAAGGTTGGAATCTGAAACGCAGAAGCACCAAACCCTTCTTATGATAACACAAAGGTTGAATTTACTGCAGCTAATCTGTCAAAATATACGACTCACGGAGGGACATTTCCACTTGTATTCCCCCCACGGGGAAGAAGGCAGGGCCGCACAGAAGTGTGGTTAGAAAAAAAAAAGCAAAAGTAAAGATACGCAGTATTGGTTTGGTGAATTGAGCCAGCGCTGTGTTTAGACTAATGCTTCAAGGCGTCACCTGCTTACATAGCCGAGATACCGGGTGCTCATATTATAAGGCAAGGTTATAAAACCATCTTTTAAGATCATTTTAGTGAAAGTTTCATCCTTCAAAGCGTACCATTCACTGCTCAAATACTAAACAACCTGCTTCCATTGAAGATATAAAGGGGGTTCATATTATAAGGTAAGGTTATAAAACCACCTTTTAAGATCATTTTAGTGAAAGTTTCATGTTCCTATCTCATAGAATTTAAGAACAATGATGAATAAATAATTTTCGAGCAAAATTTAAATGGCCGGCTGAATATATTACCGCAGGAGCCGCGGCCGCGGAATTTAAATGACCACGTCAAAGGGTTAAATAAGACTAAATATGTGGTATTTTCAGGAATATAACATTATGTGCACTTGGGGCCCAAATGTGTATACAGTGTGTGCATGTCATAGCTTATGTAATTAGTGAACAATACGGGTCTGCCAAACATGAACCTGTTTCATATCGGAGGTAACATACTCAGGTTCAAATCATAAGTGAGAAAGTATGCAATGTGGTGCACAAATTTTTTTCATTACTGTGGTGAAATGTTTGTAGAGTTATGGAGTTGCATTTTGTTTATATGTCTGTACCCCTAGAATGTTTTGAAGTATGTGGGAAAGTTTCCTAAAGATTTATAGAGGCAGTATCACTAGAGATCTCCCTGACATTTCACTTTTTAAAAACCACAATTTATTTTTTCTAATCTTTGTTTTTAATGGTAAAAATCTCTACACAGAAGCATACCGTATTTACGCATGTATAGGCCGCAGCACAATTTTCGGACAGAAATTATAGAAAAAAAATAATTTTCTTGGAATATTATTTCAGGAGTATTACACCCTGTATTACTAATTATGAATATAATTTTTTTTAAATGAAGTGTGATTTCGAATATTTCGAATATAAGCCGCACCCCAGTTTTCCTCTTGAATTTTTGGCAAAAAATGTGCGGCCTATACATGCGTAAATATGGTATATAGTATAGTATACTGTACATGTACCGCACCATAGCTCAAGCGGTTAGTCGCTGGCTTCCCACTGTGGCCGCCCGGGTTCGATACCAGGTCTGGTCAAGTGGGATTTGTGGTGGAAAAAGTGGCGCTGGGGCAGGTTTTCTCCGAGTACTTTGGTTTCCCCTGCCAATCTTAATTCCACCAATTGCTCCACAATCACCCTCACCTGTCATCTGGGGCTGGTACAATAGGCCAGAAGTGGCCGCAGTACAAGGGACTTAATCCCACCCCGCTAGCAATAAAAAATACTGTACATATAATGTATTTTCCTGTAGCGATGGAGAACCTTCTGATTATGACCAGTGCTAGCCAAAACATGTAAAGGTGTATTGATATATTTTTATATTAAATTGGTTATACTTGATGGAATTACTGTTTGCTTAATTCCCCCAGTTTTAGTTATTCTTAGTGACCGTACATACTTCTGCAGTAGGAGTAGTTTAGCTGAGTTCATTGATACGTGCATTTTACACAATACTTGATGTTTCATCTGTCAGTTCTATCATAAAATTCACTGTGTTTTGCAGATTGATTATATTAGTCGGCTTATGTGGCAAGCACAGTTGAGAGGGCACAAGACTTGGAAGCTTGTACCCCCACCAGACTGTGACCACATTTGTTCAGGAATCAGTTTCAGAGTTGAACCTGGTGATATCGGTAAGTTACAGTTGATTGAAGAGCTGTTTACATATTGTATTTATATATTCTGTATGATACTTATGTGTCAGCCTAGATAACTGAGCCAGGCTTGTGACTAGGCTACAGGCTTGATGACTGAGGAGTTGTTGTTCGATTCCTGGTGAGGGGCAGGAGATAGTTCTCCTTTCCACAGCATCCAAATTGGTTCAGGAGCTCACCCAGCCCCTTATACAGTGGGTACCAGTGGTCTTTCCATGAGGGTAGGGCATGAGGCTGACCACCGACCTCCATCTAGTACTGAGGCAAAAAATGGTGGAGCCATACCTCCACCCCCCACCCCCCAGAACATCTTCATGACATGGTGTTTAATTAAGCCCAGGGATAGCTTTGCCTTTTTTATGTATGGTACTTATGTTTTGATGGGTTGTACAAGTAACTTCAAAACTTTGTCATGTTGTCTGCCACATTAGCACTGCCAACTACAGAAGTTTTTTTTTTCTTCTAAAACAATGCCTCAAATCTAACCTTAGAAAGTTTTTAGACATTGTTCAAAGCATTAGGAGCTGGGTTGGTAGTTCTGTTTTAGGTCACAAGGAACAAGTCAGATGAGAATAGGTGACTTCTCATAGTAAAAATATGTGACACTTAAGGTTGCTTAAGAGATTTACCCTTATCATCTGGGGATTTTAAATATCTCAGTTGGTATAGTGACCATTCTACTGGAGATGACTGAAGAATTGGTGTTCAGTTGCCTGCAGAGGCAAGAGATTTTTATCTTCTCCACAGCATGCAGACTGGTTAAGAGGCCAGTCCAGCTTTCTAAGTCATGGGTAAGGCAGTGGGGGCATGAAGCTTTCCACTCACCCCCATCTAGCACTGAGGATAAAAATGTGTGGAATATTATATTTATTTCACCAGATGTCTTCATGGTGTGGTGTTAAAGCAGACAAACAACTTCACTTCTATGACACTTGTATTTATATCTGTATCTATATTTTAATTCCATAGATTCTTACTAGCTACAAAATCCATCAGATATAGAACATGTCACATATGCATACATTAGTTCTAAACACAGAACTAGTCACCTTACAACTGCATTCATAAAAGAAACAATGATTATACATAATTTAACAAGCATATAGGACTCATCAACTTGACAGCAGTACCTTATTAAGATCATAGCTTAAATATATGAGTAAATATCCGATTATAGTCAATTAATTTATACAGTGTACTCTGTAAATAGCATTATACAAGGTTTCATTTGTCTTGTATGTAAAATATTTGTCTAATGTACAAAGTGAATGGAATGCAAAGAATGTTTCAAGGCCAATTTAGATTGTTTTAGATTACAAATCGTTTATTGGAACAGGTAAACTGTTAAAAACACCTTAATCCCAGTGTAATATGTTCCCTTCTTATAAACTGGCAAATGAGACAATGGGTGATGCAAATCATATTTGGTCGTATAATTAATATTATTTACCTAAGAATTTACTTTCATATGATGTGTATTATTGGTCACAAACATTGAAAGTGAATATAGTGTGACATGTTGCGCAAACAGAGGACCCCTACCTCCCCAGCGGCACATGGTGGTAACGTAGCACTCTCGTTACTACTTGTCGCGCTACGCAGGACACCACTCCCCCCCCCGGCGGCGGTGACGTGCCGAGCGGAGCCGAAGCGAGCCATATCCCAGCGCGCTGGTTGCTATGCAATGCAGATAAACAGTGGTTGCGATAGACGACCCTAGCAACAGCGAACGGAATAAAAGCCAGCTGAGCAGCAAGCAAGAGTCAGTGTGTTATCAACAGTTCACAAGGCAGCTACCTACGAGTTAGTTCCGAGCAAGCCTACGAGTCAGATTGTTAATTGTGTGATCAACAGAGTTCTCAGTTCTCGNCCCCCCCCCCTCCAGCATTGACGTAACATTATCGGAGCAACTGCCGCTGCTACGGTAACAGGCCAGTCAACACTCCGTCCCTGTCCCCAGCAGTGACATAACAAGGTGCACTGCTGTTAACACGAGGCAACAGGGAACGGTATAAAAAGCCAGCTGAGCAGTATGTGAGCAGAGTGTGTGATCAGGAGTGACACATTGTGGTTCGTGAAGTCACTGAGCAGTGGAAGTAATTGTGTAATTGTGAATTGTATAAGTGTACGAGCAAATGTGGAATAAATTCACTACATCCAAGACGTCGTGAAGTTATTTGTCACGTTACATACCCAACATGTGACAGTATGTATATATATATATATATATATATATATACATGTATGTACTGAGATTGTGGTGGTAATATTTTTAATGCTCAAAAATATTCACCACATAAATCTTTATCTCTAGTCCCCACTATAATTCTAATAATTATTTTTTGTGGTGTAGAAATTATATTCCTATAACAAGAATTTCCCCAAAATGTTAGTCCTTAAATCAAGATAGTATGAAAATATACCACCTTCAATGATTCTTTGGACAAGAATGACTTAATTGTTCTGATTGCAAAGTAAGCTGAACTTAATTTGAGTGCAACTGTATCTACATAAATTTTCCAAGAAAATGTGTTGTCCAATGTTAGTAGTCCAAGGAATTTTGAATTACAAATATTAAGTATTTTCTTGTTCCTGTTTATTATTATTAAATTGATTACAGAACTAGTCGTAGTTATAAATTGTGTCTTATTGACATATAGTGACATATAGTAGTGAACCGTCTATTTATATCTTGAAAAACTTTATTAACACTGCTTTTAAAGTTTATAGGGTTAAGGCTAGTAATGATTACAATAGTGTCATCTGCAAATAGAATGATTTCAACATTATAATTTATTGTTTTTGGTAAGTCATTAGTGTAAAGTAAGAAAAAGCAATTCTGTCCAGTGTGACTGTTGAAGAATTCACTAATTGACTTCTTAGAACCCTAACATGTTTCGGTCCTATAGACCGTCATCGGAGGGAACATCAATACTTTTAGAAACTACTTGTGGGAACATCCCACATTATCACGCATTTCTGCAATGCTCGCTCTTCACATCACTTTTCACCATCACGCGCGCTAACCAATCAGATTTCTTCAAACGTTCGCATTTATACTGCGCTCACTGCTAGCCGGCATCTACACCATTACACGCGCTAGCCAATCAATTCTTCCTCCTCAATTTCATGTTTCGCTCCTCCCACTGAGCAGTGTATAAAAAGGGGCAGCTCCAATGCCGAGTCACTCAGACAATCATCAGTCTACGAGCTAGCCATACTAAGCAACATCAGTCAGCAGGCTTCGTCGCCAGCGCTCGGTCTTCGGAGGCATCGGCAGGCTGCGCCAGGCACGACTGCCTCAGCCCTCCGGCTCTCTCACACCTGACTCACTGGGGCACCGCGCCTGGACTCGCCGGTGGTCGTGTTACTGTCTGACCCACTGGGCATCTGGCGTAGCCACTGCCTTATAACTCCTACGACCGCGCTCAACGACTAGCCTATCACCAGCAGCTGCCGCGCTGCGATCAAGCAACCTCCAACTCACGCTACTGCACGGCCGCGCTGTGGCCAGTCCACCGACCATAACTAACCTCTCTCCCTACCGGCGCGCGCCGCGCTACCTCACCGGTCAAGCATCTCAGCAACCACGGTCCTTTTCAGGGCCAACAAACTGTTCCGAAGAAGTGGGTTGTCATTGGAGTAATGACAAAACTACATAAGAGCCCCACATACTATTACATTGGGTGTGTTGATTTTTAAAATACATAAATATATGATATTTGTAATATACACTTTATACAAAATCCAAATTTCTTACAACTACAGCAACTGTCCTTGATGCATTAAAGTTTTTTAAAAACTTTTGTTATTTAAGTTAAAATTCTTTAACCAAATAGCTTTGTGTCCCTTGTCCTTTCGTTTTTCTTGACAGGACCGAACTTGTGCCGCCTGTCTTTCTTGGGAAGGTAATTCTTGTTGTCGTCCTATGTTTGTTCGTAGCGTGCTGTGTTGTTTTTATACACACACATGCCATTGCAATATTGCAGTGTGGCTGGTAAAGGTTAATTTATATCAAGTTCCATCTAATTACATTTCTTTTACCATTGTTATATGCTTCTTACAGTTCTGCTAGACACTCGGCAGTGGTACCACGACACTCACATAGATGCCGGTGAGATGAGTCTGACAATTAGCTCAGAGTACGGTTAACTTCTATTCAGTATTGATTTTGCTCATTGTTCATCCTGAAGAGTTTCAACAGTGACTCTTAGAATCTTACACCTGTGTGAAAACAAGCCTTCATATCACTTTAAAAGCAATTTTATACCAACTGTTCAAGAATGTCTCTCGACTTCTGTTACAGATGCTTTCAGCTTTGGTCTCTAAACATATCAGCATTCTTTCATTAACCTGAAATTTCATTGGAGAGTTTTATATAAGAAAAGAATGTGTTATTTTGTATGAAACATGTTTTAATTTTACTCTCATTTGAAAAAATTATTGAAGGTTGATGAAACATGTATTTTAAGACTGTTTAAATATGAAGTTTTCATAAACAAATAACAGTCAGAATTATTTTCAGAGATAGTATATATGCTCTGTTTAGAACTTGCACAATTACAGAAACATTCCTAGTCATTGGAGTTGCTTTAAAAGTGTATAAATATTTTCATTAGCACAAAATGAAAGTGTTCAAAATTTAGTCATTAAATGTACAATTGAACACAAAGAATATTGGCACAGTCAGTTCAGAATTCTATGTAAGTGGAGTCTTCAGACTTAAAGAAAGCCATCGGCTATTTTTCGCATTCCTTAACTTTAGTAAAATATTTTGCTTTTTGTGTCAGGGACATTCATTTTCAAACTAGAATAATTAAATTCCACTGGTTAGTTTCTGTCAGGTGCGCAAATCTTAAAGAGTTTGCTTCTCTTATACTTTCTTTAGTTAACATTGTCAATGTTAAAAGAGAGTTGCAGCATTTATTGTTCTCCAGCTACACAGTGATTATTGATATTTGGTCTGACATGCTGCACATAACTACAAAAGTATTTTACATTTTGTAATATATATTGCAAGAGAAATGGAGGCTCTGAGAAGCTAATAACATGACATAGGGAGATACGAGGATACCAATTTATGAGCAACGAAGATGCAGAGAAAGAAAGCAGTGAAATCATCATTGCCAAACTTTTTGCTGGCTCTGCATAATTTGTAACTACAACTGTAGTACATGTTCTGCCAGTTTTCACTACTTTCAGTTTGAACATCATGCTTGCAAATTTTAAAATTTGCCACGCATTCATTAGCCAATATGAAGATTCCACACCAAATGACTGGGATATGAAATTCGTCAATTAATTTGTGATCTGCTTTGAACAGATCATTCCAGAGGTGTTATATTCACTCGTTGCTAAATAGCCATGGTAGTTAATATGTACTGCATCAGGATTCTCTTAATTGGTATACTGGTGTGTAGTGTCTTTCCTTGTTGTATCATATGTACTGTATTATACATAAAGAAGATTACAGCTTTATTAACATCTTGCCACTTTGGATTTCCACCGCAGGTTTTCAGAGCATAATTTTATATTAATGTAATAATATATTCAAGAGTTATATTTTTAAAGATAGATCTTTTTTAGAGAAATTGGTGGTGTGTACATAATCTGTTGCTGTCTTTCATTTCGCAATATACTTCCTAGTCATTTGTTGAGTAATGATCTACAGTGCTGTTAGAAGTGTCTCAATATAATACTTTCTTTTATGAAACTCATATTTTAATATGGTCATGCAAGAAATGTTTTGATTTTAGGGGAACACATCAGAGTGGATTTTAACGTAGATGTAGCTTTATAATTATTCACATGTGTATCTTACAGTTCTCATGGTTATCCTGTCAGCGTTGTTTCTTTGAAAATATTTCATAAACATTTTGTGTGAATATATGGAGGCCATATTTAAGGAATTTGTATGTTGTAAGCATTTTATTTTTAATCATTTGCTGTCTAAAAATAATTTTATAGGTTTTGCACTTACTGTCATAAGTAGTGAGTAAGTATTACTTTTCTTTGGGAACAAGTTTTATTGTTTTAAGATTATTAAAATCAAATATTTTATATAAGTCATTCAGTTACCAAAGTGTTGTCTGCACAAGTGTATATTATAAATTGTTCAGAATATTATGCGTATAAACAACTGTGATAAAATCAGAACTTATTAGTCAGGAAGGAAGTTTTGCAGCAGAATATTTATAGAAATGCATTGTGAAATGTCTGAATGTTACTTTGATAGCGAAGATATGAAGCTGGAATGCACATATATCACTCCACACTTAGCCACTATTTATAAAGCATCTCAAGAAGTAAAGTAGTAGTAATGGGTCATATAACAGTTTACTATGAGTCAGAATCAAACTTTGTAATGTTGTACAGGCCATTCCCAACATAACTCCAATATATTCTTGAAAATTGCCTTGTAATTCAAATTATTATAGGTTGAATATCAGTTTCCTATAGAATTTCATGTTATAAAAAGAGAAACATTACAGAACCTCAGAAAAAATATATACCAAGCCTCATTTAGGTTATCTATATCTTTATTTTAATTTTTTTTTAATTTAACAGTTAAGAACTAGTGAGTGCTATAAATTGNAATTGCATATATATATATATATATATATATATATATATATATATATATTGTGGATTGTAGTCACACTGTGTCATTTGGGGAAGGGTGACAAGTGGATCACAAGTAGACCTGACTCTTTTTGTATACTAAATATGTGCAGTATGCTCATGTAGTACTCCCATTTCACCACAACATGTGTTCAAATATAATTCAGAATGCAGACTCAATACTGCCAAAAGTGATGTGTATATTTCTAAAAGAAATTTGAAGTTCTGACCAAACCCTTCAGTAATATGGCATTCATGCTGTAAGTGAATGTTAAGAATTTATCAGTTATTATTCATTCAAAGAAAATGTAATTTACAATGTTCTAGTTGCCTGGAATTTCACAGTGACAATTAGAACCGCAATACTGATCACAGATTATGTACATCATATAATGCACAAATTTTATACCACCCGAATTATATTACCATTGCTATAGTGACCTTTGAAGGCTGGAAATGAAACTGAATTCCAGTTCATTATGTGCCCCAAGTGTTGAAAGATCAATATGAAAATGGTAGACTTATTTCTAATGAAGGTTGCACTGTGGAGCACAGATTAGGAGTATTTTATGTTATTGTCTTAAATGTACAAAAATCACCTTGTCAGGTGTAACATAATTTCGTCCCATTGTGGAATCTGGATACTCAGTCCAGTCGCTGTGATGCCTAGACTGTTGACTGGACTGAAGAAGTGGGGTTCACTTCTCAGTAGAGGCAAACAATTTCTCATATCTGCAGCATCCAGACTGATTCTGGGCCCCGTTCAGCCTCATACCCAAACAGTACTGGGGCTTCTTTCCTAGGGGTAGGGCAGCCATTACATGAAGCTGATGACCCATATCTGTATAGTGTCAAGGTTACGAATGCATGGAGCTATACCTCCACTTCTGCATACATCTTTGTGACATGTAGCTTAATTAAGCTCAGGGACAGCATTGAGCAACAGGACAGGCTTTGAGAAACTTTTTTCCATACTGTGAAGTATTTAATATTGAAATGTTATTGTGCCTTAGCTGAGATTGTCATTCCATATAAATTTGCATCAGAGTCCATTTACACAGTATGTGCTTGCACATGGCTAGATAGGATGGATTTAATTTGAAACTAAGTTATATGTTTGCTTGCATGAACCAATTCTGAAAGTCAGTGCCAAAATTACTTTAAGCTAGTGATTTTGTCAGGCTTTAACATCACTCTATGAATATGAATAATTTTATGCTGAAATGTTAAGGTGTGTTACAGCAATATTAAGAACACAATTCTGTGTTTTCTAAGATCAAACAGTATAACTTTAGGGGTCATAGTGCTGAACTTGAGAGGATTGCATGGATAGTGCAAGAAAGATGGCATAACTCTGGATTATATTTACAGTAAAACTGTATAAAATGCCAGCGCTGATTAGATCAGTTTTTTTTGCATATTACTCCTATCATAAAGAATAGCTACAAAACATTGTTGCTAAACACAGACTTTCACAAGTTGACAGCTGTCTGTTAAATTCAAGAAAAGAACTTCGCCCTCATCAAAACTGGTGAGTCACTTTTTGTCTCAGTAGTTAACAGTTAAAACAAACTGCTTCTTGCCCATTCCCTTATCTTCAGAGACTAGCACTGAAAGTGTCAAGGTTCTATTTGAATTGGAAGAAACGTGATGATAAATGTAATGGGGGGATCCAGAACCCAGTTGTTTGACCAAAAATTTCTCAATAGAGGCAATATATTCTTTGAACACCACTGTTAGGAACGAGACTTGCATGTACCCAAAGTCCAGTGAGGTATAATATTTCTGAAGATCACCATCTTGAGCTTGTAACATTAGTTCATTAAGGCCAGCTTCTGTGAACTCTCTCCAGCGTTTTGATCATCATTTGTCCTATCACCCCTGTGATCTCTAACAATGCCAGTTACGTGTTATACTCTGTCTATTATTGTATGAGTTCTCCAATGTTGTTAAATTAATTTAACTTACAGCAGCATCTCATATCATACTATAGTCATATCCCAGCCCTTGAATGTGAAACATGGAGCTTTTCTAGGATTTTGTATAATTGCTACCATAATTATCTCACTCACTTTAATTGCCTGTGATGTAATATATCCTACAGAGGAGAAAAGAATTTGAAAGTAAAAATAGTGAGGTATAGGTAAGGTGAAGTTGTCCGTGTGTTTAGTCAGTGAAGCAACACGCCATGAAGACATGATGAGTGGAGGTATAGCTCCACCATCCTTGACCTTGGCACTACATTCAGGAAGGTGAGTGTTTAGCTTTATATCCCAGCTGCTTTACCCCCAATAGCCATTGGATAGGAGGCTGCATGGCCCCAGAGCTGGGCTGGTTGCTGTGGGAAGGAGAAAATCTCTTGCCTCTGACAGGAATCCAGACCATAGCCCATTGCTATGCTGACAAAGCTATCCTGGCTAGCAAGTTTATTAAAGAATATGGAATCAAAATAGCTAAGTCAGTATAACAACTAGACTACAGGCTGGATGACTGAGGAATTGGTGTTTGATTCCTGACAAGGGCAAGAGATTTTTCTTCAAATTGGTTATGGGGCCCATACAGCCTCCTGTATACTCAGTGCAGGAGACTCTTTCACAGGGGTAAAGAGGCTAGCTTGCCACTCACTTTCATCTAGTACTGAGGTTAACAGTAGTGGAGCTATACATTCACTGTTCCATACATGTTTATGATATGCTGCTTAATTAATCAAGCACCTTATTACTATTTAGTTTATAGGCATACAAGAATATGAATGTACAAGACATTTACTAGATCATCATTATCCTTTGTTAGTGAATGATTGATGATAAGAACAGGTGATGAGAGGGGACCGATATCAGCTGAATTGCATTTCATAAGGGGCCTGTGGAAGATACCCTTTCAGATCATAATTATATTCCACAAGTAACAGAATTTATGGAATTAAGAAAAAAAGATTAGGAAAGAACATATTTACATGATCCCAGAAGAAAAAGAACCTTAAAATGTTAACCAAAAGGAGAAAGAAGTTTGGGAAACAGTAGAAGGATTTTTTTTAATGTGCTTAACATGTCTCAATAGGCCTGATACTGGGAAGGATGGTGAAGGTGAATTACTTTCAAAATGTTTGGTTGAAATCAGACAAGTTGTTTCCAAGTTGTGCACAGACAAATGTGTATGTATATATCAGATATTGACTCTCTTTATAACACAAGGATTTATATGAAACAGTTGCTCATCAGATAGAGCTCAAAAGACAGTGTAGAAATACATTTTTGTAACACATTGCCCATGTGAGCATTTCATATGCATGGGCACTACATGAGCATATGCAGTATTAGGATACAAACTGAGCTCAGTATTGCAGTTATGTACTAGTGTAAAATAAATATGTCTCTTACATTGTAAACTGAGTGCTAGTAATGCCAAACTTACATACCGTATTTACGCATGTATAGGCCGCAGCACAATTTTCAGACAGAAATTATAGAAAAAATAATTTTCTTGGAATATTATTTCAGGAGTAGAACACCCTGTATTACTAATTATGAATATAATTTTTTTAAATGAAGTGTGATTTCGAATATTTCGAATATAAGCCGCACCCCAGTTTTCCTCTTGAATTTTTGGCAAAAAATGTGCGGCCTATACATGCGTAAATACGGTATTTAATAAATGTTTGAGGGGAAAACATGCTCAGAATAATTTTAAATGTAATCACATTGTCAATTGCAGATTAGTAAGTGCATTTTTGAATTAATGTTTGCTTTCTGAGGAAGAGAAATTTCCGTGTAATCACAATAAGCTATTTTCTTTTCTATTAATGGTCGATAAAACATGCATGTGACACTCAGTATACAGAACCTTTATGGTATTTGATGTGATCTTTTTCTGTTGAACAGTACATAGTGAATAGTTCATTAATACTATGGCAGACATATTAATTTGGCAAGTGTATAAACAGGTATGGCACAATTCCCATTTAAGATTCATTGGTCAAAATTCTTCCCTCATTTAATTTTAAATGTTCCAATCTAATGATCTCAGTGATAAATTTGATATTTTTACTGTATTTTTATGATTTGGCACCATATGTTATTTACATAACTGAAAGCCATACCATTATCAGTCAGTTGTGAATAAACTAGGCTAAAACAGTCCTCTATTGCCTGTCTGTAAGAAAGGTCTGGGAAAAGACTTATGTCGACTACTGAGTTATATAATTTCATATTTAAATTTGAGCCCCTGATATATCGATCATTGCAGTTACTAAGCTATGGACTGGATGACTGAGGAATTGCAGTTGATTCTCAGCAAGGATAAGAGGTTACTCTCTTCTCCATAGTATCCAGACAAGCAGTAGTACCGAACAAGACTAATATACAGTGGGTACTGGGGGTGTTTCCTTGGGGTAAAGCAGTGGTGTGAAGCTGACCACCCACTTCCATGTAATGCCAAAGTTCAGAATGGTGGAGCTATACTGCACCCACCCCATGGTATGTCATCATTTTGTGGAGCTTAATTAATTATGGTCAGAGATAACTCTGTCTGTGCTTACCTTTACCGTGTTTAAATTTATATACATTCAGTGAACACATTTTGTACTGGCCTGCTTTAAATTTCAAATGCCTCAATTCAGTCACATTTAAATCATATTTCCCTGATATTCTTCACTGATCAAAAGCATGCTTTTATTTTTTGCTTGTGTGTGATGGTTTATCAGAAGCTTGTCTGCTTATGTTTGTTATTGTCATGTCTCAGTATACAAATCCTTATGCAGTGTTGCTCAACAAAACTGAACACCACTACCATCACTCTTTGTGAATCATCAGCAAGTGTTTCATTTGAAATACTGTACCTGTCTGCATAAGCTTCTGCAGCAGTATCAATGGTATAAACTACATGATCAGGCCTCTTTCAGAATGCTGCCATGCTCACATGCAGAAACATGAAAATAGTTGCTATCTTAAGCATTCATTTCAGAGCAGTCTTTAGTCATTATGAGTTTGTATTTAGTCTTGAAGTCTTATCAGAGGAAGTGACAATGAGGAGTACTGTCTTCTGGTATACAACACTGTAAAGTCTGGAAGAACACTGACGTTTCAGAGGAATGTACTGTCTCTGTCTTCAATGAAGAGTAAGCCAAACAAGAAACAGCAAGCAGAGCAGCCTGTCACATGCTTCTTTCTGATTTCCTGTGTGGCTTAGTTTTGAGCCACGAAGATAGAGGTTGTATGTTCCCTTGAAACAGTGGTAAATTCCTACAAGACTACATGTTGTTATGTCATAGAAGACTCTTCATGTAAGTGTTTGTCGGCAGGGTCTCCCTCTTTAAACTGCAGCTGACATTAGTTGAATATCCTGCTGTAGAGCGAGTGCACAAGACTGAAACAACACAGATATAACCAGTATACTATGCTCAGAAAGGAACATGCAGTGATAACCACAATCTTTATGCAGTATGATAATATTTGCTAAAGAATTTAATAATTGTGCTGTGTGATCAAATTTGTGTTTCCATACAGTATTTAAGTATTTCTTCTATTAGTGGCTAAGGGTGAATAGAGTGATTAATGTCACTGTGTTACACTCAATTTGTAACATATTTAATATTCCTTGATTTAAGGTTTTCCTGCATTTAACATTCAATGTCAGTGATTGGAAATCAATAATCTCATTGTTAAACACCATCCATTTTTAAGATTCTCCTTGGTTCAGTGTTGAAGTTCACTGTTCCCAAATAAATCCTGTATGTTGCTATGCTCATTTGTCTGAACACCAACTGGAAAATGGCCAAAATACAATAATGCAATGTGCCAAATTTGAAAATGTACAATATGAAAACAGGCCAGTTCTGTTATATATTTGGTATTTTTGTGCATTAAGATACTATAATAGCACATGTTTCTTGTCACCCTATATTTGTAATGTGTTTTGTTTATGGTGGTTCTGCTTATAATGCTCAGATTGAAATACAGTCAAATCATGTTTTTATGTATGTATGCAATTGTTATTTAAATATACTTATTTCAATTTGATAGTCCTTGGTAGTAAAAGTTTTGGAAAAGAAAAACTATAGTGCTTCCAGTCCCTTTCCCTAATAGAAATTGTTATATTAAATTGAAATAAATATATTAATATGGTAACAGTATTTTCTTCATTTTAACCCTATCCTGTAACCCAGAATTGTGTCATGACAACGATAAATCCCGTGCAAAAAACTGACACAGGGAGGAAGGTAATTTCATAAGCCTGCTTTTATTTATTTTTTCAAAATAAGGCTAATTAAAAAAGGGACAACTAAGTGAAGAGTCTGTGCAGAGGGTCTTGACCGGGGTGCAAAAACTGCATATCAGTCATTTGAGAACAATACGAAGGGGTTTCTTAATACAAGTAACAGCAACTACAGATTGAATATAAAATTGAGCAATTGGAATGTAGCTGGCATTATGTCAAATAAAGAACAGTTGGAAGCAAATAATATGAGAACTACAGGATTAATTACAGAGGAGGAATTTCAAGTGTAGCTTTCGAGGATAAATGTGGGGAGAGCCCAGGAACTGATTGAAAGAAGAATTTTGCTAAAATATGGATTTCATTTTTGAACTATAAGAGAATCGACTATACAATCCTCGATAATTTTGATAGTGACTTCGATATCTCGACCCGTTCTCGAAAGAAACCGGTTGCATTAATTTACAGAGTCAGAGCAGTCAGAGCGGTCAGAGCCTTTAGACGCTTTAGACGCTTTAGACATACAGACAGGTGCGATACCAGGCGAAGAATACAAAGTTGTTGTTCAATACATGTCATTTTTGTTCGGCAGAAGTCCAGGCTGTAAATCTGATTGTTAATAATAACGGACATTTGGTGAGCGTTGAAATTGTAATATGCTTGATTATGAAGATGATTATTTTTTGGAAGAAGACAAAATGTGAGTGAAAAAGATTACGTGCTTTTTCTTCCAGTGGTATTGATCATTACGTCCTAAACTGCTATTTAAGGTTATAAAACGTCATCATCCTAACCTAATCAGACTTCTTGTCTGAATTCTATAAACTGATTTATTTACCATCTCACGTTAGATAATCAGCAAAAGAATTTCTTGACATGCAATTGATAAATAACTTGTCATTTTGATGTATTGTGTAGTATTTGGGCGTAGTCATTTTTTTCGGAGTTAATAGCGAAGATTGTACAATTGTTTTTGCGCGGAGTGCTGTGCAGTGACGTTATTTAAAAATAAATTTGCTGCCGTCACAAGGTTTTGCCCAAGCACAATAAAATTGGAACCGAGGTTCATTCAGGTGATGAATCATGTATGGGTGTCTATATGTACAGTTTCCAAGGCGTCCTCACAGTCCATTCCACAGTGACATCAGCACAGTCGTTCATGTTATTCTCAGCTCCCTTCACAACACTTTCCACAGGAGTTACTTCCATACATTTGGCAGATGGAGGGAAAGTCCAAAATGATTTGAATATATTAAGTGATAATTTGTAGTGTGAACTCTGTGCCTTCTTTTTGAGAGATTTTGGTGTGTATACTTCCGCATTGATCACAAGAAATTAAACGAGGTAGAGGGTAAAGAGCGGTATTGTGTTGAAATCACAAATATGTTTGCAACTTTGGAAAACACACTGAGGTGGATATTAAGAGAGCTTGGGAAACTATTAGAGAGAATATCAAAATTTCTTCCAAAGAGAGGCCAGGTTATTATGTATTGAAGAAACATAAGCCATTTTTCAGTGAAGGATGCTCAAAATTATTAGACCAAAGGAAACAAGCCAGATTGCAGCTGTTACAGAATCCAAGTGAAATAAGTGGGGTTAATCTGAACAATATAAAATGTGAAATCAGCAGGTATTTCAGGAATAAAAACAGGGAATATCTGAAAGAATTGATGAGCTTCAGTGAACAGTAAGAAGAAGGATATTAGAAACCTGTATAGAGGAATAAATGACTTTAAGAGTGGTTACCAACCTAGAAGTAATTAGTGAAGGATGGGAATGGTGATCTGCTTGCAGATTCCCACAACATTTTGAATAGGTGGAGAAACTACTTCTCTCAGTTATTGAATGTACATAGGGTAATTGATGTTAGGCAGATAGAAATACATACAGCTGAGCCGTTAGTACCTGATCCCAGCCCTTTTGAGGTTGAAATTGCTATTGCAAAATTGAAAAGGTATAAATCGCCAGGCAGTGATCAAAGTCCAGCAGAATTTATTGAAGCAGGAGGCAAAATATTACATTCTAAGATCCATAAGCTAATTAGTTCTATTTGGCATAAGGACAACTTGCCTGATCAGTGGAAGGAGTCTGTTATTGTACCAGTTCACAAGAAGGGTGATAAAACTGACTGTAGTAATTATCATGGGATGTTGCTCTTATCAGGGGCATGCAGTAGCTTAGTTGGTTGAGGCACTATGCTGCAAGCTGGAAGGTCATGGGATCAAATCCCGATGAGGTCATTGGATATTTTTCAATTTGCTTAATCCTTGAAGCTGCACTATGGGCCTGGGGTCGACTCAGCCTCTAACGGAAATGAGTACCAGGAATATTCTTGGAATGTTCTTGGGGGTAAAGAGTGGCCGGCATGTAGGGCTGACAGCCTTACTGCCATCTATGAGCCGATTGTCTAGAAGATGTGGGAACCTCAACATCTCACAACCCTATAGGCCTTCACCGCCTGTTACAGGGATACCTTTACTTACTTACTTTTACTTATTGCTGCTATCAGGAGAAGGGATAGTGTAGTTGGTGTAGCAACTAGCTATGTGCTGGATGACAGCTGTTTGTCTGTGCTGATGATGTGAATCTACTGGGTGATAATGTGGATACCATATGGAAAAATGCATAAACTTTAATTGACTCTAGTAAGGAGGTTGGTTTAGAAGTTAGCACACAGAAAACTGTAGGTGATCGCCGACTTACAGCTGCCACGACTGTCGCTCAAGCTTGAGTTCTTTTTCTCAGGATACGGGTGCTTCGGAGATGGGAGTGGAACACACTTCGGGGTTAATAAATCCGGGATCTCCAGAACACCGAATATTGCACTTTTAATTTAAAATTTCATTCAATGATTAATATTTGCATTGTCCTTCAAGCTAGCTGCTTCGTCCGCCCTACTCGCTACCCTACTGTTAAACACTTCTCTCTTCTCTATCTACTTTTCAACTACTGTCCTCCTCCGCTCCCTATAACCGACTGCCCTCTCTTTACCAGTCCCCCAGTTGGCCTAAAAAACGAAAAAAAATAGAAACATAAAAAGAGAAAGCTAAGGGTTGAGCCCGGCATCTGACCTACATTCATATTTTTCGAGAAGCTCGTAAACTTTTTTAGGTCTTCAGGGCACCCAAGACCCCTCCTGGCCGGTCTCACACATGGTCAGTTCATGGGTTTATGATACCGGGAGTAAACAGGCAACATTAGGGACAATAGTGGCACCCGTAGCCTAAGGAGGACAATAGTTGAATTACAACTAGACAGACGGTCCCGGGATGGTATCTCGCTGGTGGAACGTCTCTCATGGTGTTAAACAATGCATAAGTTGTTCATACCCTTAATTAAATAATTTTGGCGAGGGACGTACGGTTACATACTCCCCCCATTAAGCCGAGGTGTGTCCGAGTCGCACAGATGAAAGATGCTACTGAGGCTTAATGCCATTCTCCCGTACAAACCGAGAATTACATTAATTGTTTGCAATACACTGTCATACTTACACAAAGTTACCACATACAAGACAGATTATTTCAGCTCTGACGCTCACACTCTTCACAAAACTTCAAACATACCACAGGCGCGCGTACAATACAACTTCTACATTCACATTAGTCTAGCATCCCCACATGTTAGATTTTTCTTCACCTAAGCTAATTACAGGTTATTCGCTCTTACTACATACATGAATCCGTACAGAACATAATACTGTACTCAGGAGAGCACTACAAATCGTGACACAGATGTGACCCAAATATAAGGCAACCTGAAATCCAAGGCAAACACATCAGAACACATACCCTTCTGCTCCAATTGCAATCCCCATCTCCAACGTCGTACCTATTCATACAACATGGTAAACACATGACTTCTATCTTATTTCAAAAACTTAATCACTCACATCTTCAGAACTGAAAGATCATCACTGTTAGGATTCGTATGATTCATACTGTCAGCATCTTAACACAAGAGGTCCAGTCTTCTCATAAAACTTACCACACTTTCAACAGTGGTGACAATAGGCATTTATAATTCAATTAACTTATTCTGATCCACCATACCTTGATAGCTCATGACCTTTGGAACCTTGTTTACCCTCTTATCATAAATATTACTTAATGCCGTCGATATTACCAGAAACCAGTATCACACAATTCATTGCTACACAATCCATATGCCTTGCCACTGACAATGAGTAACGCAGAAATTAATGCAATTTTAACAATAGTGAAATTAATTAACTTTCTTAACCTTAATACAAATAAATGAAATATGTGCATGTGCAGGAAAATCTGACACACACTGACCTTGAAATGTCTCACTTTCACACTTAGCGACCACCATATTTCTGTCCACAATATTTATATCCCAGTATTTTCAAAACGACACAATCAAATTAGAATACACTTACGAGCACATAGCACTAACGACATCTATCACTGATTGCCCTCAAGCTGCATTTGCCAGGTCCATGGTTTACTGACAGTCCATGCATGGGGTGAACAGGTGACGTGAAATCACCACAGCATGGCATTGAAGTAACCTTTGATTTGACCATACCTGTGGTTCCTTTATCCTTGAGAGTCTTCTTCCTCTTCTTCCAGTTTCGAACCAACGTCCTGCCCTGGGGCTCCGAGAGATAAAGTGGCGTTGCTGTGCCGCGATATTCAGTAGTCTGTCACTGTTCGCCTTCCGCCCCGACTGCAGCTGAAGTTGTGCTACCCATGAATGATTCCCACACTCTTCTGTTACGTCTCCTGATTCTATGCCCGTTTTTGGAACTTCAGCCAAGTTTCCACAAATCACTTGTGATCTTGGTATTGGAGAAATCACATTGCATCCGCGAAGTCCACTTCCTGCATAATTCATCTCGTCGGTATTGGATAACTTTATTTCTGACTGGTCTGTACTCTTGTCACTGCTCAATGTGCGTTCTTCTTGGCTGACAAGAATTCCTTGGTCACTAGTTGTGTGCGCTTGGATCGCAAGAGTGCCTGGCTCTTTCACATTTTCTTCGTTATGACATGAATTTACCTGATGTTTTATTTGGGTTTCAAAATTTTCAGAATTATCCCCTCACACCGTATCCTCAGATTCCATTACTTGATCCACTCTACGATGAATGTCCATTGTAACTGAGACCACTGCTTCACGCACGTCCGCTACTATCCTGTTTCCCATTTCGCGCAAGTTTTCATCAATACTATTTTCCACTCTCGTCATTATGTCATCAAATTCATTTACCATTTTCATCATTCTCTCCTCAAATTTTTCCATTTTCATCATTCCGTCCTCAAATTTACTTTCCATCTTCATCATTCTGCCCTCCAATTTTTCCATATAGGTTAATATGGCCTGCACGTCTCCTTCGCATTTTCTATACATTTCATCTGTTTATTCTGGGTCTGTAAATTAGCTCCTTCCTCCATTTCTCCCCCATTCTCTGTATCGTTGATCCCTTCCATTACTTCAATCTCTTGTTTATAATACTGATGGCTCTAACTAACCTTGTGTATATGTATCTTCCATTTTCTTGTCTTCAGATTTCTTCCTTTCCTCCGCTGTTTCCATGATGTTCCGCTCGCAGACTCCCGTTCTCCTCCGCTGTTACGTGCCCCAGGTTGGAAGCGCCAATTCTACTGGCTAGCCGCTCCGTCCACCCTACTCTCTACCCTACTGTTAAACACTTCTCTCTTCTCTGTCTACCTTTCAACTACTGTCCTCCTCCGCTCCCTATAACCGACTGCCCTCTCTTTACCAGTCCCCCAGTTGGCCTAAAAAAACGAAAAAAATAGAAACATAAAAAGAGAAGGCCAATGGTTGAGCCCAGCATCTGACCTACATTCGTATTTTTCGAGAAGCCCATAAACTTTTTTAGGTCTTCAAGGCACCCAAGACCCCTCCTGGCCAGAGTGAAATTTGGTCTCTGACATTAAGGGAGGAACATAGACCGAGGGTGTTTGAGAACAGGGTGTTGAGGAGAATATTTGGACTGAAGAGAGATGAAGTGACAGGAGGTTGGAGAAAACTGCATAATGAGGAGCTTCATAACTTGTACTCTTCTCCAAGTATAATTAGAATGATCAAGTCAATGAGGATGAGATGGGTAGGACATGTAGCACAGATTGGGGCGAAGACTAATGCATATAGGATATTGGTGGGAAATCCAGTAGGAAAGAGACCACTGGGAAGACCAAGGTGTAGGTGGGTGGTCAATATTAAAATGGATCTTAGAGAGAGAGAGGATGGGATTGTATGGATTGGCTTGATCAGGCTTAGGATAGGGACCATTGGAGGGCTCTTATGAACGTGGTAATGAACCTTTGGGTTCCATAAAATGCTGGAAAGTCCTTCGGTAGCTGCACAATTGGCAGCTTCTCAAGAAGGGCTCAGCTCCATGAGTGAGTGAGTGATACTTTTGCAATGAGTTAACAGGCTTTTTACTGTTCCTCTCAGCAGTGATAAGGGAAAGGTATTGTCATATGGTTATGTTATGTCATTGCAGTTCACCATTAAATATAATGCAGCAGGTGATAACACTATATATGTAGGTGACATGCGACTGAAGTTCTGAGCAGGGACAGTGAGCTGGTGGGAGAGTAATCAAGCCACATGTGTCTCAGTTTTGCTCCTAGTCTTATCTGATTTCATAAGAAATTATGTGCAAAAGTTACACAAATGCTTTGTAGCACCAGAGGATAGTCTGCTTTGTCTCGTATTTAACATAATTGATATGGTAATTATTGTATTACAAGAATGAATTGTTTTTCTTTTGTCTTGTTAACAGTAGCTGGTCTCTGTAAAGGAGACTGTTAACAGAAATTTTCAGAAAGAAAGCTTGAGTACCCTGATGTAGAAAGCATTGAAAATGTGAAAGTTTATATGGATAAATGGCCTGTCTTATAGTTATGGTGCATGAACCTGACCTCTCCGAAACGGTTACCAGGAAAGTTTTGTATATACAAATATGATAACAAAGGATTAACCCAAAATGAACATCATACCATTGAAAACATCATGTTTTTGAACTTGCACCAAATAAGAAATAGAAGTCAGTAAGGGAATGTAAGAGGCAATAAAGATGGCTGACAGTCTGAAACACATCTACTAGTGAAATTATAGTGAAATTGCTGTGATAAGTGTAGGTGGAGAATTCCAAGAAACAATCTCTGAAGTAAATCATTCAGTGTATGAACATTTCCATACAATTGAGATGTGTGGCCTGGTAGTTTGGTAGCCATAACTTAACAATAATGGGTATTTAAATTCTGTATTCATTGTAGAACACACTTTTTCTCCATATTTTATCTAAGAGCTTTTTCTTCTCCTTATTAAATATGTCGGATGTATCTTCGCAGTACAGTGCCCTGTTTGTTACATTCCTTTTGCATGCCCAGAATTCTGACACCGTTCCTTTATATATGAACAGCTGCCTGCAGTTGTTCCAGCAAAGCAAACCAGATCATCTTTCCTGTTTTATTTATATGTTTAGTTGTAGTTTATTTAATAACACTATAAGTGATTAAGACCCTGTAGTGTTTTCTCTGAAAAATCTGAATTCAGTGATAGATTAGATTAATTTGGATTTACATAATGTAATTCATGTATCTGTTGGGATTTAGTAAATATAATAAACAATGAAAGAATCATTTTACAAGTTTTGCAGTAGACAACATTGTGTAGGTGTGTTGAAGAAATTTAGGTACTTGACTGCTCTTTTGTTACATTTTTCTTTGCACTGCTTTTTGAATTTTTATTTTTGTGTTTATTTTGTTTTTTGTGTATTGAATTGTGTTTCAGCTTGAATTTACTGCAGTAGCAGTTTTGGCCTCTCATCAGTTGTGATCTCTGCTTGCAAGTGGATGTTTATTGTTTAGTTTCTCCATTCCTTCCTTTATTGATTCTGCACTTTGAATGTGGCCGAATTATTCAAGATTCCCAGATTATATTCAGGACAGAAGTAGGGTACAACTGTGCATGGTGATCCTCGCCTTCTAGCCATCATGGAAGATCGAATGTATGTTGCTTTGATATCCTTATGTCTTTTTTTGTGAAGCATCGATTTTAATTTTCATTGCTGTTTGCTAGTTACAGCTGTACTACTTACCTGCTTACTTAGTGCACTCAGACTAGTATATTAGCTGTGAAGTCTTATCAGGCNCATTTAAAGCTGTTGTCACGGCCGCTTGGATAGCCTGAATGCTTTCAAAATGGCGTCCTTTGAGTGCAGTCTTGATCCTCGGGAACAAAAAGAAGTCGGCCGGAGCTAGGTCGGGGCTGTAGGGTGGCTGCGTAAGCGTCACCAAGTGGTGCTTTGCCAGGAACTCACAGACGAGCAGAGACGTGTGGCTGGGTGCATTGTCATGATGCAGCCGCCAGTTAGGGGCGATGTCTTTTTGCACGCAGATGACCCTTTTCCTTAATCTTTCTAGAACATCCACGTAGTAGGGAGCGTTGACAGTCTGTCCTTGTGGTAAAAGCTCTTTGTGGACCACACCCTTGGCGTCGAAAAAGACAATGAGCATTGTTTTCACTTTTGATTTGCTCATCTTTGCCTTCTTCGGTTTCGGGGAAGCCGAGGTGTGCCATTCAGCACTCTGGCGCTTCGTTTCTGGGTCGTACTCAAATGTCCACGTTTCATCGCTGGTAATAACACAATCTAAATAATGAGGTTCAATTTCCACACGTTCCTTCAATTCACTCGCGATCAACACTCGATTGGCCCTTTGCTCATCAGTCAACAATTTGGGGACCAGCTTGGCGCACACCTTTCGCATGTTCAATTCGTCCATAACGATGTGATGCACAATGGTTTTTGGAATGTTAAGAGTGTCGGCTAACAACCAGACAGTCATTCGACGGTCAGTATTCAACAAATCACGCACACGAGTCACATTTCATCGGTTTGGCCTGTTGATGGCCGTCCAGAGCGGGGGTCATCTTCCACTCCTTCCTGGCCCTCCTTAAACTTCTTCACCCACCTTGTAACTTGCACATATGATAGAGCAGACTCCCTGTAGGCTTGCTTAAGCAGTTCATGAGTTTCAGCAGCTTTTTTGTTGAGCTTTTTGCAGAACTTCACCGCCCAACGTTGTTCGAAAGTATCCGCCATTGCGCACCGTGATGTCGTCACAAAACACAGGTGCACTAAATCAGCGATACTGACGCCTCCGATGCTCGAGCAAACTGACGGGCGCGCTGTGAAGCTAAAGGCCTCCCTCCCCCTCACCCAACCGGTTCCAGCGCGCTCCGACCAGTAGGACCGCGGGAAAGAAATATATTTAATGACTTTTGGGACACACCTTGTATATATATATATGTTATGTTAACAATGAATTCCTTAATTTGATTTAGCCAATGAGATTGATAAGAAAATAGTATTTTTTTTCCCCTCCTGTGTGCAGCCTTAGTGTGTTTCTTATTCCAGCATTCCAGAACTGCCAGGAGATGCATGAAGGGTGTTCCAGGGGGGTGTGAGATCATGAGAAAAAATCGATCTTTAATATACAATTAAGCTGAAATAATTCTTTTTATCACATGCTTTGGCATAATGGTGATACTGTAGAGGAGCTTGGTTTGAATTTTGGTCTGTACATCAGCTACCTTGACTGAGTTTTTTCAGCATGGTTTTCCTCAGTCCCTCCAGGCAGTTGCCAGGATTGTGCCTTAATTGGGCCATGGCCACCTCCTTCCAAACCCTTTACAAATCATCATTCATTTGTCATTTGTCCATTCAACACTATATAGTCTAGATGCTGAATGCGGCATTAAATAACTTACAACCAGACATTAAAGAAATTAAAGCTATTAGATTTTGACATTCATCACTGTATAAAGAGCGCTGTGCAGCATTTTCATATAAAATTTGAATTTTTTTTTTCAGTTTTGATATGTTACCAATTATGGATGACAGTACAAATATGAGTGAAAATGGTTACATTTATGTCAGTAGAAGAAAGTGTGGGGGGGTATAATTGTTTGGTGAAAACCAAAGCGGGATTATCAGCAAGTTTTGGAATCACTGATTTGGGACATATGTTGCATCTGTACCTTCTGCTTTCTTATGTCACATGATGTGTTGACATCGCTTTGTCCAGGCAACAGTAAGAAGACTGATCAAGAGCATGCCATAACTCAGTCAGGTAGTTATTGGCTTCTCTCTCTGGAAGTCCAGGTCTCAGTATGTTCCAAATGGAATTTGTGTTTGACAATGTAGCACTGGATAAATGTTCTCCAAGCACTTTGGTGTTTGTTCTTTGCCTGTTATCATTCTGACACTGCACCATACTGATCTCCCATCAGAGGCAGGTGCAGTAGCCCCATGCTCACTCACTCGTACAACTAAAAAAGTAGACAGTTATCATGGCATGAGAGACGTGATCGTGGCTATGCCCTCTTACCATTACAGTTGGTTCACATGTGGACAAAAGACTGCTATTATGAATACGTTCAGGTAATATGTCAGCTGGGATAGCCCAATTGGTATAGCAACAGGCTACAGACAGGGTGGCCAGGGTTCAATTTCCGGCAGGGGTAAGAGATTTTTATGTACTCTGCAGTGTCCAGACCACTGCTGGGCCCGATCCAACATCCTAGTGAATGAATATTGAGGACCCTTTCCCCAGGGGTAAATCAGCCAAGGCATGAAGCTCACCACTTATATCTGTCTAGTTCTGAGGTCAAGAATGATGAAGCTGTACCTTCACTGCCCCATGTCTACATGGCATGGTACTTAAATTAAACCCAGGAACAGCTTTACCTTTACTGTCAGGAAATAGTTTACAGTGGAAGCTAATATAATACACTGGATGTTGCAGTGTAGGAAATTGCCTCAGCATTTATGTAAAATTGATATTTCAAATCGAAATATAGGAATATTGTGACAGAAAGTATACACTGTTTTATGCATCATGTGAGCTATGAATGTTTTCTTTCCCTTCTGCTTTTGTTATTTTTACTAAATGTCCTAGGGTATTCAACACAGAAGAATAGTTTTTGTAACATAGTTCCTATTCTTTTTGTTTCGTTCATTTGCATCTTTTCCTTCACTTTTGATTTTTTAAAAATCCAAGGAAAGAAGTTGATACCAATGCAACTTTTATTTCTGTCTTCACTATATCATCACGTATGGTGGGGGAGGGGCATGACTTATAAGATGTATTTTGGATTGGATGAATTGGATTTATGGACAGCTTATACACACCACTTGTAACTACAGGCAATTACAGCACTGTCACTATTTCCACACTTTACAGTCCACTGTTACACTAGCATTCTCATCTTCACTAGTCTTATCCTGGCAACGGATTTCACAGTACTTGTACCAGTCTCACTGTGACTGCAGCACACATGAAGTCTTTTTTGCACAGCCCAATTCCTTTCTTGCCATCATCTGCTTCCATCTCAGTTCTGATTCTAGGTAACTGCTCACTTGGAATTCTGGACCCTGACAAACTCTTCTCAGCTGAGCTTTTCAGTATAACCACTTTGCATGAACTGAACAGAAGACAGTTTCCAACAACCCCTGTTGTTGTGTGTTTACCAATATGTTGCCTAGAAACAGGTTCTTCTATTCCATGGATATTCGTTACAGCAGGAATATGTTTACTGATCTGTTCCCTAGAAATGGATTTCATAACACTATTGTTTATTTGCCCATTGCATAGCAACAGCTGTACATGCTACAATATGTTCTGTCTTACTACTATAACATGTTTTGGGGATATAGGGAAATCATCAGGTCTCGCTAAAAGTGTTTGGAATTCATTGAGCTGCATTTAGTTGCCTGGATTTGTGTATTCATATGTCATCACATAGCTGGTCACGGTAGCCGAGCGGTCTAAGGCATGTACTGTCTTCGCTCGCTTGGAAACCGGGATCGTGGGTTCGAATCCTACTCAGGGCATGGATGTGTAGTTTGTATGTGCGTTTTTCTATGTTTGTGTACAGGTAGAGGCCTTGCGATGAGCTGATCACCTGCCCAAGGAGCCCTACCGAATGTGTAATATCTAGAAAAACCGAAGTGAACGGAGAAGTTCATGGAGGTAGGCCTAGGCCCACTGGGGCTGTAGTGCCAAGGAAAAAAAAAATGTCATTACATGCTGCTTTTGTAGGTGTTGGCATACTGGCATAATGCGTGCATATCGTATGTATTGTGGCAGTGTGTAGACCTTACCACTCTCTGGTTACGTTGTTGAAGCTGTCCATCTGTGTAGAGAGGAGGATGCCAGACTGCCCCCCCCACACCTTCTACTACCCCACTCCTCAGCAGAGTCAGTAATACATAGAAATCATAATAAGAGCTGGTCACATGCCAGTAATCATATCTTGTTCCTGTTATACCCATAGTTTATACCACATTTATTTTTTAAGGAAAGCCTGTTCTAGAAATTTTCAGTGTAGACAATACTGTATATTGAAAGCATGTCTCTCAGTACACTCAAATCTCGATTATCCAGGATGATGGTGGGGATGGAAATCATGATTAATTGAAAACCCAGTTAAGACAAATTTTATTAAAAGTAGTACTGTAATACTGTACTTCATAATACTATAGGCCTACCTGTATTTAAATTTATTCAACCTCATTTTTATGTAATCTCATGGCCTATTTAATACTTTTTTTACATTACATTGAAGTATGAATTAGTTATTTCAATCACAGTGTTCAACAACATCCAACACTTAACACTTAAAAAATTTAATATTGTCGTTTGCTTTTTCGCGGCATTTTCCTTATGAAGCCTACGAAATATTAGCTTGTCACTTAATAAACTGTTCTCTTCACTCTCAAGATAGTCTAGTAAGGATTCCAAATGATTAAGAGCAGCACTGTCCACCTCTTCCTCATTCTGACTTTTGTTTTTTCAAATCTCGAACAATTTGTTCTCCAATACTGTATTGCATTGCTAATTGTTTAACTACACCTCTTTTTCCCAACTGATTGATAATTTCAAGTTTCTGTTGAATACTTAACACAACACACTTCCTTTTACACCCTGACATTTTGCTAACACACTTGAAGATCGATACAAAGATACTAACTGGGGCGATGTATCTGTCCTTGAAACTTTCCGCAAATCCTTGCATTCTTTCTCCCCTACCCTGGAACATTGTGTTAGCATAATGGGACCAAAGAATGCAGAGCTCGGTTCACACTAGTGCGAAAATAGTGTTACAACTCACCATGTGAAACAAAAGTGAATGAATATTAAACAACATATAAGCCTCAAAAAAGTCTCAGTAGCCCCGGTTAAGCTGCAAACTGGATAATCGAGAATTGACTGTATTTTGGTAAATTGATAGTTTAAATTTGCAATCTTTATAACTACATATACATATTATGACACAGAAAAAGTGCCTTTGCTAGGAAAATTAAATAAAATTTTGGTTGATGAAACAGTCTTCTTCACAAACCATAGAAATATTAATATAGGGGGTGAAATAACACAGACGATATTACAACATTGAAGTTGTTGCAAATTTCACTTGAAAATAGAGACCTTTTTCTGTTCCTTTTCCTTTCCCCAGCTCACATCTGAAATATGTACACTCTACACTTGCCTTATATTTTCATGTATTTTAACCAGTTTGATGTGATGTACTGATTATATACCAAATACAGGGTGTCCCAGGAGGAATGGACCAAACTTCGGGAGGGTGTTCCTTATGTTAAAGTATGCCGATATAACCCAAAACACCTATGTCCAAAGTTGAACGGTTACGGAGATAATGGCCCGAGAAAAGTGTGGTCTTCTTGCAGGTCCATGCACTGTGGACAGTCAGCTGTGACTGTTATCTGTTTGTACTTGAGTGTGGTGATGTCACACTAGCCGTGATCTCATGCGCAACCTACCAGAGCCTACAGATTACGTTGCGGCGGGGTCGTGAATGGGTGGTAAATTAGTTGTGTGATGAGATGCTGAAATGCCTGTTGTGTTTTCACACATGGAATATTGTGATATGCATTTTGTGTGTGGATTTTGCGGTCGCAATGCACGTGCTGCTGTTGAAGAATACCAAAGGCGTTTTCCCGATCGAAGGATTCCATCTCGAAGTGTATTTACGCGAATTCACCAGACATTGCGTGATACTGGTTCTCTTGCAAGTGTTTCTGTGCACTCTGAAAGGCAGGATGTACGAATGATAGACACACGAGAGCACATTCTTGATATTGTTCAGTGAAGTCCGCGTCTATCACTCGTAGAATCGCCTCTCGCATCGGCGTATCACGTATTCAGGTGTGGCAAACTTTACATCATGAAGAGTTATTCTTACCATGATCAAATGGTACAACATCTGGAACCAGGCGACCATGCACAGCGTATGGATTTGTGCCACTGGATAAAAAGTTCATCCCGAACTGTTAAGCGTCATTTTATTCAGTGATGAGGCGTCTTTTACCCTGGATGGTGTAAATAATTTACGAAATGTGCATACGTGGTTCCATAATAATCCACATGAGATAATGGAAACGAAATTCCAAAAGAGATTTCCTGTGAATGTACGTTTACAGTTATGTGGTCGGGTTATAGCGCAGCCATATTACGTCATCGCTCGCCAGTCATGTGTCATGTATAGTGCTTGGAAACCTAAGGACAATTATGACATGGCGAGCGAGTATTTCGTACTTCAATTTTATGGCTTTCCGTCACTCACAAGTTAGTTTGATGTTACGTACATTATTAACATTACAGAATCCACATATTCCTGCCAGTTTTAATATGTATTTTGTAATCAACAAGTGTGTAACACCGGTCAAAGTTTGACACTTCTCTGGCCATTATCTCCGTAACCGTTCAACTTTGGACATAGGTGTTTTGGGTTATATCGGCATACTTTAACATAAGGAACACCCTCCCGAAGTTTGGTCCATTCCTCCTGGGACACCCTGTTTATTTTCCAATTTAACCATGTTCTGCACATGATGGGAACTGTAATGCCGTGGTGCAGGGGGGGGGGGAGGTAGCCCTCCCGCTGCCGCCACTGTTATGCCCTAGCGGCGCAGGGGGGCGTGGAGTCAGCCTCCTCTGCTACCACCGTAACACTGCAAGTAGGGGGGCGTGGAGTTATCCCTCCTCGCCTCCACTGGTTAGGTCGTAAACTGGTACTACTGGTAACGTCGTGCCGTCGGGGGGGTGCATGTACCCCTCCTTGCCTCCACGGGTTATGCTGTAAGGCGTTACCGCAATCATCCTAGCTTACCCTTAGCTAGGATTCTCCTATATCGGAGTTTCCTTCTGTCATACAAGCTGCCACCATCTATTTTCTGTTCTTTCAATTGTGGGGACTACTCCCTGGCATGTAGTCATACCCCTTCTTGACCACTCCTCCCTTAGTTTACAGGTAGCGTCTAAATACTTATTAATACCTGTATCATTCTATCTTAAAAGGGCGTTGCTGTCGAGGCTACCGTACTCTGCCTGTGTGGCAGGAGCCTATCCCTGTCTATTCTTATCTTCGTCTTCAGCTGCCACTGCGGCCTGTGTCAGTTCTGCCTTTGCTCGTCAGGATTACTCGGGATCGGGTGTGGGAGGTGGATTATATATATGAATTACACTCCCGGTACATCCTATCCTATCTATCTTATTTGCACTTGGGTATTTACATAATTTACAGATTTACATTATTTACACTATCCGCAAAGACTGTCCTTCTGTCTGGACTACATGTTCTCTTTTTTTCGAGTTCTCCCCCTTCTGGGGTGGAGGCTTCGAGCCTCTCTCTCTCTCTCTCTCTCACTCATCTAATGGGCCTGCAAGCCCTCCTCGGGAACATATATTTTTTTCCTGTACATTTCTGATTACACATGATATATGATTACCTATCTATCGTACGGTCTCTTCTACATAAACTACCCTTAGTTATGTTTATATCTCAATTCCCATATACTGTCTTACTACAACACACTATATGTAACCTTGACACCGACATATAAGTCACTCATTGCCTGACTAATATCCTAGGCTTCTACACTTTCCTGGTATCCTACCCTACGGGCTCACTGGGTACACTGGAGATCGCACATTGAAACACAGTTATCACCAATACTATGAAACAACAAGATTATCACTCAGCATGGCTAATATGCGTAAACAAACCCACCTGTAGTACAAGATGCCGGCTGACGTCCAACGCTCGTCAGGCCCATGTTGAAGAGCGCCTTCGGCTGACAACTGAATATTCTGTTAGAACGTGATCCCAAGTCCCCCGAAATTCCCTAATTTATCGTTTTATTTTGCTGATTCAGCCTTGACGAAAGAGGGTGGGTGACTCTCCCCTCAGTGTCCTCAATCCTCATAATAACCTCCTCATTGGCTCTCATGGGTGGTTGTGGGCGGACCCCTTGCGTCTGATTGCTGTGTCTGCCGCAATATTACGATATTCCAGTGGCCCAGTGAGACAAGCGCTGGCTGGTGCTCTTACGTATGAATGCTGATCCCACGCATTCTTAGCCTACTTGCCAGTCCTGGTGTTACAATTTACTGTAATAGCTGCGAAACTCTTTTCGCAAGTCTCTGGCCTTTTTGGGTAATACCATCCTCTTTCTAATCTCAAATTTGGGACATAACAGGAACTGTTGACTTCTCCCAAGAAAAATGATGGTGGTTAATTTACGTTTTTAATTTACTTCCTATTCCATGAGATAGTGAAGTTGATTCTAATGAAATACTTAATTTAAACAGGGTAATTCGAAGTTTGATTTTTTTAATCATATTAGTTTAGGTAAGTCCCCTCCTTTTCTCTCTCCCTAAAACATGTTTCTGCTATTTTTTACTCAGTTTTTAACATGAAGGTTGAAATATGCCATACACTGACAGATGTATGACTTTTTTATTTTTGACAAGTTTGCTGGTATGTGTACTGGCTAAAAATGCTAGATGAAATATGCTATGTACAGTAATATGGCATTTTATAAGTGACTCCAGTTCATCTGTGAAGAATAAGAAGTTGGGAAGACCTGTGAAAATAAACATGAAGGAAATAGAAGGTGGTACTGAAGATGATGAATTGATAGACATGTAAGTAAATATTTTCAAACAAAAGTAGTTGCCTGCTGATTAGAATTATTTTATAATGTAGTCATTTTACAATCTTGTAGATTAATGTTTTGAATTTTTACATAAGAATAATGTCAGATTTTTAAGTAGTGATACCATCAGAAGTTATATATTAATGATAATTGTTGTATCCTTTTTAGGCACATTTGCAATCCTGTGGAGCCCTTATTAAAATTGCCGTGTATGTATGTGTGTAGGCTAATAGTGTATTTCCAAAATATGTATGAGGATAGTTTAATAAATGAAATACCTGGGTATAGGTGTGACTGGGGCATGAGGGGGGGAGGATTTTTTCATTTTACTACTGCATCTAGACCTGGGCCCACCCAGTCTCGTATCCAGTGAGTACTGAGTTCAACTTTGATTTGTTAACATTGCGACAGTAAGAACCAGGCTGGTTCAGTCAGTATAATGCTGGGCTAGGGGCTGGATGGCCAGGGTTCAATTCCTGGCGGGGGGTCGCTCCACAACTTCCAGACTGGCTCTGGGGCTCATCCTTCCTCTTAGCCAATGGGTACTGTTGGGTTTTTCCCTGGGGTTAAAGTGGCTAGGGCACTGACCATTCACCTCCATCTAGTGCCAAGGTCCCAGACTTCAGGACATTACCTTTACCGGTTGTATTGCAAGAGCATGAAACTGGCCATTCTTGTTGATTCTCCATGGAATGCCAAGGATAAAAATTAGTGGAACTTTCATCTGTACTCCTCAGATGTCCTTATGGTGTGGTGCTTTGGCACAGGTACAATTTTGCACGTTTTTAACAACCTTCGGTCTCTACTAGTCGAGATATTTTCATCAGCAGCAGCAGCAGCAACAGCAACAACAACGACAACATTATCACCTCCACTAGCTTCATGAAGTGGGTTAACAGTAATGCTGTAGACTTGTGTTCAAGAGTACCTGGTTCAAATCTCGGCCAGGACACTGGTTGTCCTGATTTAGGTTTTTTGTGGTTTTCTTCAGTCCCACCAGGCAAATCCTAGCATACTACTTCAGTTAGGCCACAGTTGCTGCTTCCTTCCAAATCCTTTCCCGTTTGTTTTTCATTCCTCCTGCCATTTGATGTTACTTTGCCTCGGATACTGACAGGGCTGTAAAATAAACTTGAATGCACTAATGTGGCCTCTGCTCCCTCACACAGGGAAGCAGAGAACCCCTGGACATTTCTGGAATGACTCAACCCTTTCAAGCATGAAGACCAGTTAGTTAATGCAATGTAGAGAAGTAATTGATATTTATTCTGAGAAAGATATAAAAGAAAAATATAGAATTCTTTAATGTTAAAGGAGGAGGTAGATGCAGTAACCACTGTGGCTTAAGCAATAATGGATGTTAGCTGAGTCCTGCTTGTTTTATTGGTATAATATCCGTATTTGAAGCTAGATTATCTATTCAGATTTCCATAATTGTTACCGTAAATTTTGCTGTAAAATACTGAAATGTCTTCATCAATTCTTCATTAATTCACCATAAATCACCAATATCATAGAGCTTGCTTTGAAGTCTACCTGTTAACTGCATTTCTTGTTGTCTGTGCTGTCTTCCTTCATGTGCTGCTTTCCTGGTGCCAATTTTAATAAAAAGAAACCAGGATGATGATCATGATCACCCTGAAGGTGGTCATGATGATGACGAGGAGCAGAAGGCATTGTTGGGTTCGCTGCAAGCTGTGGCATACCAGAACACCATGTAAGTGAGCTCTCTTTATCTCCTCTTGCAGGACTGATCCTTGCTAGCCTGCCCGCTTGCTTATCCCACCTGACATCAGCCACAGTAGCATGGAATTGAGTAGCAAGCACAACCTGCTATGCAGCACTACGCCTGCCAAGAAGAAGTGACAGGCCAGCCCATCACAGAATGTATAGGATGCACCAAAAGTTGGGACATGTGGTGCTTTTATATTGGAGAACCCTGCAGTCATAGCATTTTAATTAAATATGCTCTTTGTTCTGTTAAATTCTGGATGAAAAATGAAAGAACAGTGTTTTTAAGGGTTAACCCAATTTTCAGCCTCTTTACCATATATTAATACTGGAACTACTGGAGTGCTGGAACAAATTAACGCCTGCTTCCAGGGTTTCTTTTTTTGGTTGTGTTCAACCTGGGATAGCTCAGTTGGTATAGCAACTGCTGGGCTGCATGGCTGAGGTGTCAGGGTTCAATTCCAAGCAGGGGCAAGAGATTTTTCACTTCTCCATAGTGTCCAGACTGGCTTGAGGGTCTACCCAGTGTCTTATCCAATTTGTACCAGGGGCTGTATCCTCAAGAGTAAAGCAGCAGGAGTGTGAAGCTGACCACTCATCTCCATCTAATTCTCCCATATGCCTTCATAGCTCAGTGCTTAATTACATAATTAAGTACAGGAATATACCTATACTTTTATCAGCCAGTTATATTGCACCAGCCTCTTCTTTATAAAACCTGTTCTTTAGAGTGAGCAAATAACTGAAGTTCAAACAAGTTTGAACGTTATATTCTAGAGAATACTATATACTGGGATGTGACACCATGTAGTCCAGTGACACCCTCTTGTGGTTGATGAGTAAGCAAAACAGAATGAGGTGCATGTAAAAAATTTTGTTCAGATATATGCTTACAATGGAGTGCAGAGAGTACCAGAAGGATGAAAGAGAAGAAGCCCTGAAGATGGAGGCAATACATCCCTTTGAAACATCAGTGAATTTACTCTCCTGCTTCTGTAGATACTGTCTGATCTTTTTTACATGCTTATGTCTGGGCCAAGCGTTCTGTACACAACCCATTCTGCATCCTACCTGTGTGTTGCTGGTTGCTTGGCCTACTCCTCAACCCTGAAGAATAAGGTTACATTTGATCATCAGATTTCTTTGTGGGAAACAGAAAGCGCCACCTGTTTCCAATTAAGAACATATTAAGTATCAAATTTGCTGTAGTAGAGTCCTAGATATGCTAGCATCACTTAGCTAGTCTAAAAATTCTGTATCTTTCATGGTGCTTGAATGTTTATTGTTGTGTTTGCAGTGGACCCTGTCCAAAGCTGGCTGAATCCAGTTCACATTCTGATTTGTTCTTAAAGTTCTGTAGGTTTCTTGTCTGTGTTCAGATTATCTCAACTTATTTGGCGTGGATTCTGCAACCACTGTAATTTAGCCTTCTTCCCTCAATTTTTTATTTCATACATTTTCACACCAACTGTTCTGCTGGCATAAATAGTGCTCCTTCCGTCCTTGCTCTCAGCAATTTTCATCAAATTGTGGTTTATGCTACTTTAACTCATAACGCTGTACACTCTGAATGAAGTTTTGATATTCTGTAATACATTTTCAAGCCTTATGGATTGTCACAGTGACATCCGTATTTTCCAAAGTTGCCAACTTATTTCTAGATATTAACCTGATTTTGCGTTGTTTTAAGTAGGAACACAAAATTATGTATATAAGTTTTGAGGTTTTCATAGTGGTGATTGTTCTATTTGTGTTCTTCTGGGTTGTGACACTGAGTAGTCATGTAGATGGATACTGATGTTTCAGAGGAAGATACTCCATTTTCAGGGTTGGTGTGTGTAAGCTGAATATGAACAGGAAGAATGGGGTTTTCATGTGTAGTTTGTAAAATCCTGTTCCTACCCTGGAATAATTAATTCCTCCAGAAATGATACTTCACTGTGTGAGCTGTCATTAAGGTCTCATTTCCCATCTCCAGGGACCTTAAAATCGCTGTCTTGTCTCTCATGTGAGGACCATACAAGGGCCAGAAAAGTTATTCCTTCTCTCATAATTCCACTTTTCAACCTGAATACAATATTATGCCCTAGAAATGGGGCATCCCTTCTCCCACCTACATTGAAGACCTTAATGTACCCCTTAAAATGGTCATTTCTTCCTCCAGTTCTTCACCCTCCCTGTCTCATATCTGTGACTGCCTGTATAACTACTAGTTTTCTCATTGTACACACTTAAACCCTGAAAATCGTGGGTGGCCATGTTCCTCTGAAAGTCAGTCTCTGCCTGCAAGATTACACGGTGTCACAATCTCAAAGACCACAATATGTGGAACTCAGGCTCTCCTACAATTGTAAATACCAGTTATAGACCACTTAGAGTACAGCCTTTGGACCCACAGTGCCATGCAGTCTGGTGGATTGGCGTCAACGTTTTTGAGGAATTTGCTCCGTCGATTTTTGAGATAGAAAATGGAAGCATAAGGTCCCTCTGAAAAGTCAGTACCAATTTACTAAATTACATGATGTCATATCCCAGAAGGCTCTTGTGTTGGTGCTGTTGTGAGAATCTTGAATCTTATATGTTGTTTTTTTTAATTTTAAGCTTGTACCCATATGAGTACATGCAGGGCCTTTATGCTGAAGAAAGTTTATTATCTCAGCTTAGTCTTAATTTGTCGTGATTGAAATTGACTCTCTGAAGCCGTGAAGATTTAATCACGTTTCACTTTACAAAAGTTAGTTATGAGAGAGGAATGTGTCTGAAGAAAACTTAGAAGGCACTTACATTGTGTCCAACTCTTGGTGTATCATATACAGTAGCATTGTACTAGTTGAGCAATTTGGTACAAAAATAGGAATGTAAAATGTTATACAGTTTTATGTTGATATGATATTTATTTTTGGTATTATTTTATTATGTAAAATGAAATATGCTAATTTTAAAATATTGTGGAAATAATTTTATAATAATTTTATTATGTGGCAAGAAAATAGAACTGGATGGCATGACTGCATGCTTTGGACAGTTCAAATGGAGCACCCATATAATATTCAGGAATTTAAAGGTTTCCCTCATTGTCTACTCATGGATTCACCTCGGATTCACTTTTCACTGTGAGAGTTCACAAGGTTTTCCAACCCCCCCCCCCTCAGACACTAATGCTGAAGATGACAACTGCATTGTTTCACAGAGCACTGGAAAACCTTCAGTACTTTATGTGGCTTATTCCCAAGAGCTGAAGTCACGCAACAAACTTCAGCTGCAGAAATCTTAAAATGCTAATTTTAATAAAGATTGAAGAGATATCTTGTGAACATAATGGAACAGTCCAGATGCTGGGGTAGCTATGCCTCTAAAGTGACTATTGGCTGGACACCAGGGGTTTGATTCCAAGCAGAGAAAGATAATTTTCTTATCACGGTGTTCAGACTAGTTCTTGATCCTGCTGAACCATTGTGTAGTGGTTACTAGGCCCTCTTTCATGTGACTGTGTAGGATATGAAGCCAATCACCCACCTGTGCCCTGTGTTGAGGTTAACAGTATGTGGAGTATAACCTTATTGCCACACACTCTTCACCTTATTAGCATGGTCTTTAAGCATAGGTACAACTTCTTGTTTTACTTTGCACTTTGTGCACTAATGACTTGTGGGCCCAGTCAGGGGTGCAAGTGTTATCCAGTGAGTTTGGTGCTTATCATTTTCAAAGTGGTCTTCCACCATTGAAACTTAAATATGATTATCAGGCCATGTTAGTACAGCAAAACTTAGGAGTTGTTAACGGGGATGAATTTTTCTGCTTCGTACAATAAACCCTTGCTAATATGGAGAAATTTGCGGGGAGGTAATCCATATTAAGTGATAATCTGGATTAGTGAAGCAACAGGTAGCCCTAAAAACCAAACAAAAACTTAGAACACAAGTAAATGGAAAATTTAATGATATAATTAGTGCTGATGGAAATAAATAAAAAATATCACAGTAGAGCCTTTATTTAAAGACTATAGAAATACAGTACATTTATTTATCGATAGACAGCTCAGAAATTGTACTTGTTTTTGAATGTAGTAATGCAGGTTTAAAGAAACTGTCAAGTCTTGTCTGAACAGACAAATGACTCATCTATCTACCTTCATAAATTCTATGTGTCTTCTAAAGAATGTACTCAACTGTGAACAGCATTTTTCATATTTTGGTTCCGATTATCCAACATCTGGATTAACGAGGGTGTACTGTATTTGTTTTCCTTGGTCATGTTGTAAATTGATCAGCCGCATTTTGAATACAGTTTGTATTGTTTTATGTACTTTACCTGTGTGTATTTATAAAAAAGTGTAATTATTTTAATAATAAAACTACTATAACATTTCTTTAATTTGCTATGACCTTTTTCTAAAATGAACACAATCAAATACTGTGCTTGAATATTTCTGAAACCATGAGTTTCAACAGACATACTTCTGTATGATCACATAGCATTCTTTTGATGAGAATTTGATTTTATGCTCACAGATGCTTTCTGAATGTGAGAGTTTCTGATTTAAGAATGTTTGTTTATTATTTTAGCTTACTGTTAATTACTGTTACGGATAAATGTTTGAAATTACACATGATTTGAAGCTCTTATGGTAACGGTATGCACTGGAGCCTTTGTGACCAGCTATGTCAGCGTGGAGTTAGTGTTTGATGTTTCAGAGACTTTCTCTGTCTGCATCATCATGGACTGATGTGATGAGTGCTGTATTTGCACCTCAACAGTTTCAACATGAATAAGGGATTTGCTTTAAGTGATTCATGGTTCATACTCACTAATGTTTAATACTGAGCTAAATTAGATTCTGATATTTGTATTATAATCTGTCTCATTTTCACAAATTTTGTGTTTGCTGTAGACTGATGTTCACATTAAAATGACCAACAAAGTGGTTGCAGTGTATCCACATTTGATTATTGAAAGTGATGGCATTTCTGATTCTGTCTCACTTAC